TGCGTGCTGTCTTGTCTTGTGTGAACACGCGGCTTATGAGTAAGCTCATTAGCTGCGTGTTTGTGTCTTGTTTTGTTCAAGCACATGGCTTGTGATTGTTTTGCTGGCCATGTGCTTGTGTTTTTTTTTTTGTGTGTGAGCACATGGCTTTTGTCCTTGTTTCCTGTGTGCCATGTGCTCTCACAATTGACTTGATTCCACCCATCTTTTTACCTGATTATTGGTTAATTTGCCCCATCTGTGTTTCCCTCGTTACCCTCCTCATTTGCTCCCTATTTATTCTCCTTGTGTTTTGCAGTCCCGTGCCAGTTCGTCATCGCATGTATCATGTCAGCCTTGTCCTGATCCTGCCTTGACTTGCCTTGTCGTGCCAGCCTGTTTTTCCCCCACGGGGTAGTTTTTGTTTTATTTTTTTTTATAAAAGCCCATCTCCTGCATCAGTGAGTCCTCACCTCATCCCTTCATCCCCAACCCTGACAGTACGAGCTGACAAAAAGAGGACTCACCAAAGATGGTTTTCTTCCTTTTCCCATCTCCTACCACCGGATTGTCCACCCGCCAGCAAATGATCCAGCAAGTAAATGCTCGCTACTTCCGTCAGCAGGGGGCTGACGTGAGGGACTTTGCCTGTGACTTCCTCATTGAGGTGGACAATCTGGACTATAGTGAGGCTGATATTTAGGAGGTCTTCAACATCTGCCTCGATCAGCCTCTCAGCCTGTAGGAGATGGAGAAGCTGGGGAATCTTGGCTTCTGGGACTTAATTTATCATGTCTACCATCATGGGGAGCCTGAACCCCCTCACCAAGCGAATTCCCACTTCACTGACTGTCCCCCCTTTTCCACCTGCAGTCAGTGGAAGCCCCAGCCCTCCAATGACCCATAAACGGAGAAGGAGGAAGAATGGGCCAGCTGCAGCACTGCCAAAGACGGCTGAAGAGGCTGCAGCGCCTCTAGAAGCTGTAATGCCACTGCCTAGCTCTCATCGGAGGAGAAAGAGGAAGACTTCCTCCATCCTTCAAGGCCTGCAGCCTGTCCCAGAGCCGTCCTTGCTTCTTGCCATGCCGGCTCCGCCCAAGCTCCTTGCTCTGCTGGCTCTGCATAGGCTCCCTGCTCTGCCCAAGCTCCTTGCTCTGCTGGCTCTGCATAGGCTCCCTGCTCTGCCCAAGCTCCTTGCTCCTTGCTCCCTCCTTGATACTGGCTCCACCCTTCCTGCTTGCCAAGTGTTCGGTCCCGCCCTGGCCGGCCGTTGGGGTTCCTGTTAAAGGGGTCATATGATGCTTTTTTTAAAGATCATTATTTTGTGTATTTGGTGTAACAGAATATGTTGACATGCTTTAATGTTCAAAAAACACATTATTTTTCAAATACTGTACATTATTGTAGGTCCTCTATGCCCCGCCTCTCTCAAACGCTTCGTTTTCTACAAAGTCCCTCCTTCCGACAAGCGCAGTCTGCTCTGATTGGCCAGCTGGCCCAGTGCATTGTGATTGGCCGAACACCGCAAGCACTTGTCGGAAATGTAACGCCCCTTACCATAATCGTGAGCTTCATCTTTCAAAATAAATGTAAAGACAGTCGCGTGACAGACACAGTGATGAAGCTGGTATGTGTTTGCATTACACAAGCCACAGATAACCCCTTTAAGCCAGAGCCTCCCTGGTCTGTCCCTCCGGCTCTGCCTTGGTGGTCTGCCGGGGTTCCCGTTAAGCCGGAGCCTCCCTGGTCTGTTCCTCCGGCTCTGCCCTGGTGGTCTGCCAGGGTTTCTGTTAGGCCGGAGCCTCCCTGGATCGTCCCTCCGGCCCCGGACAGGACTCCTGGACTGCCTGAACCTCCCTGGCTCAACCCTCCCGCCTCTCCCTGGTCCCTTTAATGACTTTCTGGGCTGTCCTGCTGGCACTGGCTTGGCTCCCCTCCCTCCCCTCTTTGTCTTTGTGTTTTGATTTTTCTTGTCTTGCGTTGTCTGTTGTTGTGTGTCGGTCTTGTGTTGTCATGTTTGTGCTGTCTTGTTACTGTCTTGTTTTTGGTGCTCCTCGTTAGGGATGCCAGGTCCCATCATGTCCTGTTTTTATGTGAGTGTGCGGCTTAGAGTATTCTCGAGCCGTACGCTCTCTTGTCTGCATGCCTTGTTCGGATCCCAGCACTCATGTCTTGCTCCATATTCTGTCTTGTTGTGGGAGCGTGCAGTCTCGAGTTCGCTCGGCCATGCGCTCTTCTGTCCACGTGTGTTGTGTTGTGTAGCATGCGGTTTGTTTTCTGCCGCATGCTTTTCTTGTTGTTTTGTTTCGTTGACAAGCTTTCATGTCCTGTTTTGTCTTGTGCTGTGTAGCACGCAGCTTGGTTTTCGATGGCTGTGTGCTGTCTTGTCTTGTGTGAACATGCGGCTTATGAGTATTCTCATTAGCTGCGTGTTCGTGTCTTGTTTTGTTCAAGCACATGGCTTGTGATTATTTTGCTGGCCACAATTATGTAACCGATGTAAAATGATGACAAGAAAAGCCAAAGCTGATTACTTTTTAAATGAAACAACTCATAATCTAAACAGACCTAAGAAATTCTGGAAACATATTGACTATTTCAGGTGCAAAAAAGCCTGTCGGACTTACTTTGTACATAATGGACAATACCATAAAAATCTTGAATGAAGGAGAGGTGCTGAACTGTTTTAATAAACATTTTGTTGCTGTAGGATCGTCGATTAAGGTACCTAAAACTATAGATATGAATAATGATATGGAAAACAGAGAAAAGCATTTAACAGCTCTTAATTTCAGTTTTAAAACGCTTTCTATTTGTCAGATTAAAAAAGCTCTCAAACTACTAGATGTAAATAAGTCAGCTGGTCCTGACAAATTAGAACCACTTTTTTAAAAATTTAGCTGCAGATTACATTGCTGCCCCTTTGACATATCTTTAAAATCTTTTACTGAGTTTAAATGAATACCCAAGTATATGGAAGTCTGCTTTTGTTTCCCCATTGTTAAAAGGAGGAGATCCTTCCGATATGAATAACTATAGGCCAATTTCTAAACTTTGTATTTTGTCTAAGGTTTTTGAATCTCTCATTAGTGAGCGAGCAGTTGATTTCATATCTTATGGAACATGATATTTTATCACATAATCAGTCTGGTTTTAGGAAACAATACAATTCTCATTAGCTGCGTGTTCGTGTCTTGTTTTGTTCAAGCACATGGCTTGTGATTATTTTGCTGGGCACAATTATGTAACCGATGTAAAATGATGACAAGAAAAGCCAAAGCTGATTACTTTTTAAATGAAACAACTCATAATCTAAACAGACCTAAGAAATTCTGGAAACATATTGACTATTTCAGGTGCAAAAAAGCCTGTCGGACTTACTTTGTACATAATGGACAATACCATAAAAATCTTGAATGAAGGAGAGGTGCTGAACTGTTTTAATAAACATTTTGTTGCTGTAGGATCGTCGATTAAGGTACCTAAAACTATAGATATGAATAATGATATGGAAAACAGAGAAAAGCATTTAACAGCTCTTAATTTCAGTTTTAAAACGCTTTCTATTTGTCAGATTAAAAAAGCTCTCAAACTACTAGATGTAAATAAGTCAGCTGGTCCTGACAAATTAGAACCACTTTTTTAAAAATTTAGCTGCAGATTACATTGCTGCCCCTTTGACATATATTTAAAATCTTTTACTGAGTTTAAATGAATACCCAAGTATATGGAAGTCTGCTTTTGTTTCCCCATTGTTAAAAGGAGGAGATCCTTCCGATATGAATAACTATAGGCCAATTTCTAAACTTTGTATTTTGTCTAAGGTTTTTGAATCTCTCATTAGTGAGCGAGCAGTTGATTTCATATCTTATGGAACATGATATTTTATCACATAATCAGTCTGGTTTTAGGAAACAACACAGCACAACCACAGCTGCGACTAGGGTTATAAACAATATCACTGAGGCGCTTGATAGAGGTAATTATTGTGTATCATTTTTTAACAATCTGTCCAAGGCTTTCGAAAACGTTGATTTCAGTTTAATAAAAACTAGACTGAAACAAATTGGAATGTCAAATGAGACAACCTCTTGATTTGAAAGCTACTTAGTGGGCAGAACACACTGTGTGCAAATGGAAGGCCATTCATCTGCACCATTGCAGATTATGAGGGCTGTTCCTCAGGGGTCTGTTTTGGGGCCTCTGCTTTTTATTATTTATATTAATAATCTTGATTTTAATATTGGTAATTTTAATTTACATTTTTATGCTGATGACACTGTGATTTATTGTAGTGCAACTAAATTACACCAAGCTGTGTCCTTACTCCAGAGTGCTTTTGTAATCTCAGAAAGTTTTACCTGGTTAAATAAAGGACAAATAAATAAATAAAATAGGTGAATATTGTCATTTTTGTGCTTCTAGCACCAAACAGCACTACCTTACCCTTAAAGTATATTCATAATGTATTTAATGCTGAAAAAGGACTATTTAATTAATCTGTCCTATCAATGGCAGTTTGGGGGAATGCTTGAAACTTTGAAAACTTTTTTTTTTTTCCAGTTCTGTCTGATTTTGATAGTGGTATGGAAATTCTAAACTTCACCTTCATCTTAAATAAAGTCAGTATTTGTGAGTACTAGTGTAGACGCTTCATTGAATTGTTCTTGACTTTTCTGTAGACAAAACGGGACTAATCGCAGCTTTGCTAGGCGGAGGGACCATTGTGCTCTTCATTATCATGGGCTTTGTGTGGCTGCTTTGGAGGAAGTTGTCCAGAATCCCCATAATTCCTGAATTTTTGGTATGTGTCTTTTGGTCCTTTCATTGTGTATATATTTTTTTCATTTAAATTCTAGTATAGGCATATTTCAGCACAAAAAAAAAAGTATTCACCCTTATGTTGGTCCAAACGTTTTATCACCTGTGGGAATATCCCTATGATAATGATATCCTATTACATCTACTTACATTTTATGAACAACCAACAGAATAAAGCCATACATGTTTGAAGCAGTATGAAAATCAGTACATTATGACAGAATTTAACATTTTCGGGTGAACTGTTTCTTTAGGAATTGTTCTTTATTCAGCTGTGTTTTGTATTTGTGATGTGTCTGGTGATCTGCTGTTGACCCCCATCAGCTGAACCAAGACTAACCGTTTGCTCCTTTCCATATGCAGCGGAACGTTATAACTGGCCAATCTCTTACATCCCAAGCCGAGCCGACCGCCATTTCCCAAATGACATCTCGGGGGGACACACCCCTACTGACAGATGAGATTTTTAGTTATGGTTCTCCCCCCATTTCCCCAACTGAGAAAGACTGCAAAGCAAACACTATCCTTGATGACACCGTAGTGGATCTAACTGAGGTTTCTGAAGAGGACATGGATTGTGAAGACTCTGAAGGCGTTGGCAGGTCGTCTGACTATGACAGTCCTAAATTCCTGCAGGAGATGAGTCCAGGGGACATTACTGAGGGATATGGCCCTTGACCACTAGTGATTAGGTCTGAACCTTAGTAAGAACGACACTGGAAAGTGTTTGCATTTCTTATGGCAATATGGCTTGTTCACACCAAGTCATTGTAATCAATTTTGGTCCATTAACAATTTCACACACTGATCATTTGAAAGACTTTTTTTTGCTATTATTTTGTGTTCTCTGTCATCGCCGCGGCTGAAAAGTAGCACATGAAACACTGCTTACATTTATATTTTATTCTTTGATAATTCTGGGGTGGCACAGCTTTTTCTTAGGGTGGCAGTTGCCACCCCGGTAGATCCGCCCCTGTCAGTAGGCTTGTGTTGTGTGCACAGAGATAAAACTACATCGCACCCATTCAAATCAAAGTTGTGTACAATCAGACACAGTTCAGAGGGTTCAATTGTGGTGAGAGTTATCTAGATTGTTACGATGTGCTGCATTGACAGTGTTAACTACAGCCATGGCGAGTTTCCCACTAACCTGCATTAAGATAAATTAATGTGTAAATAAAATAATTTTTCTAGGGAGGGGGAAAAAAACTGTTGAAACGTACACTGTCAAGGGGGGGGGGGGGGGGGCAATGTCCTGCCAGAAATTTACCAGTACCCTTTTCATGATATTTACAGACATTTGCAGTAACACAGTGTTACAGTGTCCTCGTTACACATGATACATGTACTTATAATAACAATAAATTATGCATAATTGCATGCAAGTAACCCTAAACCAAACCCTAATCCTAACCCTAACCATATAGTAAGTACATGTAGTTAATTAATATTACTGTTATACTAATTAATATTACTCTAATATTAATGTTATGTAGTTAATTAATATTAATTAATAAAAGTACTTAAATGCATAGGCGCTTTATGTTTCTGCCGGTGGGTGCTCAACCTCAACCATCATATATATACAGTATATATATATATATATAAAACCCATTTTCACCACTGTTTCCACGACTAAATAATAACTAGGCTAAGTTATCATACACATACGCAACAAATTTAATATTTTCAAATATTTCATTCTCATTACTCAGTAATTAATTATACTGTGTGTTAGTTTTTTTTTTCTTCTAGAGTATACTCCGTTGGATGGTGAGTTTGATGAATTTACTACACAAAATATATCTTGCGAAGTGAAAGCAAGGACTGCAAATACATTATTTAGTAACCAAATAATACACACATTATTGCTATTGTCACGGAGTCACCAGACTCTCACCACCACGCAACGATCCCAATTACCTGAATTCTGAACACCTGCACTCAATCAGCACATCCTCATCAGCCCCAGCATATAAGCACACACCTCAGTTCAGTCTTTGTCTGTCCTTGATTAGGCTACAGACTCTCTATCCTGTGATCTCCAGTATTCCAGCGGACTCTCTCCAGTTCTCCTGCGAACGATCTCAGTTGAACAAAGATTATCTCCTTGAAGTTGCTACTGAAAACGACTTACCTCTCTGGCGCTGAGGTGTGTGCTTCCCGATCCTCATTCACCTTCATCAATAAGACTATTCCTATTAAATCATCCACCTGCACAGGCAGCTCAACCTCCAGAAGACCTCAACTCCGACCCCGTACAAGGTCCAGTCAGTAAACAGAAGAACCCTAAGCAGAGGCTACATTCGTCATCAAGTCAAACCCATCCTGTCAAGAGTTGGCTGCCTGCATGTAGAGTCTTTCTCTCCTCTGGTTCTGGAAGTTTCTACCGTTGCTGTCATCCTAGGGCGCCCCTGGCTAATACAACATCAGCCCAGATTGTCGTGGATTACGGGTGAATGTTCACGTGCAATGGGGTGAAACCTGCTTCCCTCATTGCTTTCCAGAACTACCTCTACAATCTCCAGATCCTACGGCAGTATTACCAGTTAACTCCACAACCATTAAAATTATCATGGGACTGTGCCATCGACCTGGTACCGGGTGAGTAAGTGCCCCGAGTGGTGAGTGCAGTTTCAAGTCCTTCCATTAAACTTTTCTCCACTGACTACTACGGTTTCAGTAATTACTGCCAACCATGTTGTTACAGTTACCACCCTCCTTGTCTCTGGATCAGCCGGTAACTTCATCTCCGGACAGCTCTGCAGGCAGCTCAACCTCCAGAAGACCTCAACTCCGACCCCGTACAAGGTCCAGTCAGTAAACAGAAGAACCCTAAGCAGAGGCTACATTCGTCATCAAGTCAAACCCATCCTGCCAAGAGTTGGCTGCCTGCATGTAGAGTCTTTCTCTCCTCTGGTTCTGGAAGGTTCTACCGTTGCTGTCATCCTAGGGTGCCCCTGGCTAATACAACATCAGCCCAGATTGTCGTGGATTACGGGTGAATGTTCACGTGCAATGGGGTGAAACCTGCTTCCCTCATTGCTTTCCAGAACTACCTCTACAATCTCCAGATCCTACGGCAGTATTACCAGTTAACTCCACAACCATTGAAATTATCATGGGACTGTGCCATCGACCTGGTACCGGGTGAGTAAGTGCCCCGAGGAAGGATTTATCCACTATTCATACCAGAGCAGAGGGCCATGGAGGAGTACATTGAGGAGGCACTCAAGCAGGGTTACATCCACCCTTCAACCTCTCCTGCCGCATCCAGCTTCTTTTTTGTCACCAAGAAGGACAGAGGCTTGAGGCCCTGCTTAGATTATCGAGCACTGAGTAAGATCATGGTGAAGTTCCGCTATCCACTTCCCCTCGTCCCAGCGGCTTTGGAACAGCTCCGCGACGCTTCAGTTTTCACCAAGCTGGATCTCCGACGCACTTACAACCTCATCAGGATATGTGAGGGGGACAAATGGAAGACAGCATTTGTGACACCTGCTGGACACTATGAGTATTGCGTAATGCCTGTATGGCCTGGTCAACGCCCCCTCCGTATTCCAGGATTTCATGAATGAGGTGCTCCGGGATTTCCTCAACCGCTTTGTGGTAGTGTATATGGATGACATCCTGATATACTGCCGGAGTCTAGCCGAACATTGCCATCATGTTTCGGAGGTCCTACAGCATTTGCGTGATAACCAGCTTTTCCTAAAAGCAGAGAAATGCAGTTTCCACCAATCCTCCATCCAGTTCCTTGGGTATAACATCTGTAAGGAGGGCATTCTCATGGATGAAGGGAAGGTATCAGCAGTGAGGTCCTGGCCAACTCCCACCACCATAAAAGAACTCCAGAGGTTCCTTGGCTTTGCCAATTTTTATCGCCGGTTCATTCAGAATTACAGCTCTTTTGACCTCACTGCTGAAAGGCAGGCCCAAATCTCTGTGCTGGACCTCAGAAGCAGGACGTGCCATGGAACAACTGAAATTAGCATTCACCTCTGCCCCACTCGTTCTCCATCCTGATCCTGAGAAGCCCTTCGTAGTAGAGGTTGGGGCAGTATTGTCACAGCGGCAGGAGAGAGCATCCGAACTCCTTCCATGTGCCTTCTTCTCCAAGAAACTCAGCCCCGGCGGAGCAGAATTATGACATCGAAACAGAACTTCTTGCTATCAAGCTTGGCCTAGAGGAGTGGAGGCACTGGTTGGAAGGAGCCAGGTACCCCTTCACAGTACTAACAGAGCACAAAAATTTGCAGTATCTCTGTGAAGTTAGAAGACTTAATCCCAGACAGGCCTGATGGGAACTCTTTTTCACCAGATTCAATTTTATAATCCCTTATCGTCCCGGATCCAAAAACGTGAAGGCAGATGCTCTCTCCCGACTTCATACCCCAGATGAAACTCTGGAACTACCCGAACCAGTGCTTCCCTCCTCCCTCATTGTCAGTCCCATCCAATGGGACATAGAAGAATAGATTGCTGAAGCTACCCTCTCTGAACCAGCTCCGCCGGGCTGCCGAGCTGGATGTATCGATGTACCCAAATCTCTTCGAGTACAACTGATACATTCTGCTCATTCTTCATTGGGCACTGGCCACCCAGGGACTACACAGACCCTCTCGCTACTACAAGATCAGTTCTGGTGGCCTGGCATGGCTAATAACAACCGCCGTTACATCGAAGTCTGTCAGAAATGTGCGACATTTAAGGTCCCTTCCAGGTCGTCAGTTCAGTCTTTGTCTGTCCTCGATTAGGCTACAGACTCTCTATCCTGCGATCTCCAGTATTCCAGCGGACTCTCTGCAGTTCTCCTGTGAACTATCTCCGTTGAACTAAGATTATCTCCTTAAAGTTGCTACTGAAAACGACTTACCTCTCTGGCACTGAGGTGTGTGCTTCCCGATCCTCATTCACCTTTATCAATAAGACTATTCCTATGCCTGTATGGCCTGGTCAACGCCCCCTCCGTATTCCAGGATTTCATGAATGAGGTGCTCCGGGATTTCCTCAACCGCTTTGTGGTAGTGTATATGGATGACATCCTGATATACTGCCGGAGTCTAGCCGAACATTGCCATCATGTTTCGGAGGTCCTACAGCATTTGCGTGATAACCAGCTTTTCCTAAAAGCAGAGAAATGCAGTTTCCACCAATCCTCCATCCAGTTCCTTGGGTATAACATCTGTAAGGAGGGCATTCTCATGGATGAAGGGAAGGTATCAGCAGTGAGGTCCTGGCCAACTCCCACCACCATAAAAGAACTCCAGAGGTTCCTTGGCTTTGCCAATTTTTATCGCCGGTTCATTCAGAATTACAGCTCTTTTGACCTCACTGCTGAAAGGCAGGCCCAAATCTCTGTGCTGGACCTCAGAAGCAGGACGTGCCATGGAACAACTGAAATTAGCATTCACCTCTGCCCCACTCGTTCTCCATCCTGATCCTGAGAAGCCCTTCGTAGTAGAGGTTGGGGCAGTATTGTCACAGCGGCAGGAGAGAGCATCCGAACTCCTTCCATGTGCCTTCTTCTCCAAGAAACTCAGCCCCGGCGGAGCAGAATTATGACATCGAAACAGAACTTCTTGCTATCAAGCTTGGCCTAGAGGAGTGGAGGCACTGGTTGGAAGGAGCCAGGTACCCCTTCACAGTACTAACAGAGCACAAAAATTTGCAGTATCTCTGTGAAGTTAGAAGACTTAATCCCAGACAGGCCTGATGGGAACTCTTTTTCACCAGATTCAATTTTATAATCCCTTATCGTCCCGGATCCAAAAACGTGAAGGCAGATGCTCTCTCCCGACTTCATACCCCAGATGAAACTCTGGAACTACCCGAACCAGTGCTTCCCTCCTCCCTCATTGTCAGTCCCATCCAATGGGACATAGAAGAATAGATTGCTGAAGCTACCCTCTCTGAACCAGCTCCGCCGGGCTGCCGAGCTGGATGTATCGATGTACCCAAATCTCTTCGAGTACAACTGATACATTCTGCTCATTCTTCATTGGGCACTGGCCACCCAGGGACTACACAGCCCCTCTCGCTACTACAAGATCAGTTCTGGTGGCCTGGCATGGCTAATAACAACCGCCGTTACATCGAAGTCTGTCAGAAATGTGCGACATTTAAGGTCCCTTCCAGGTCGTCAGTTCAGTCTTTGTCTGTCTTCGATTAGGCTACAGACTCTCTATCCTGCGATCTCCAGTATTCCA